ATTAAGATGCCTGATTGGCAGAGTTAAACTTATATTTATTGATGAAATATCTATGGTTGGCAACGCTATGGTAAATCTCTCCATTAAATCTGGTACGGTCCCATCTGAATGGAAGCAAGCAAAGGTTGTACCCTTGTTCAAAGCTGGAAACAAAGATGATCTGGACAATTACAGACCTATTTCAATCTTACAGATCCCGTCGAAAATTCTGGAGAAAGCTGTCTTCCACCAGCTACATAGCTACTCATCAGAAAACTCCCTCCTCTCACCATATCAATCAGGTTTTCACGCAAATCATTCAACTCAGTTGGCCATAACCTTCCTTACAGATAAAATTCGTGGACATATGGACAAAGGGCTATTGAGGGGGGCAGTGTTTATTGACCTGAAAAAGGCCTTTGATACTGTTCCTCATCATGGTCTTTTAAACAAGTTGTTTAGATATGGAATTCAAGACCAGCCTCTCTTGTGGTTTGAGAGCTATCTCACTAACAGGACTCAGAGCATGTCCATTGAAAATCACCTTTCATCTGCTGCTAACATCAGCAGCGGAATACCTCAAGGTTCCGTGTTTGGGCCTCTACTGTTTATTCTTTACATAAACGACCTTCCTTTAGACGTTGGTCTGTCTAGTGTTATGTTGTATGCCGACGACACTGTTATCTTTTCTGCTGCTTCAAGCATTGACCAACTACAGCTGAACTTAAGCCTCAATCTCAATGTCATCTCAAACTGGCTAACAGCGAATGGTCTCTTCCTCAACCTAAAGAAAACTAAGTATGTTGTATTTAGAACTCGGCAGAGGCTAATTAAATCTGAATCTCAAAGTCCACTCTGCATGGAAGGGAAGGAAGTTAACCAACTAAAGTCGTTCAAGTATCTTGGAGTCTAACTAGATGAGTGTTTATCTTTCAACGATCAAATAAATTATGTAAGGTCAAAAGTTGCCAGCAGACTTGGCCTTCTGTCACATTTACGAGGTTGTTTAACTATAGAAGCAGCAAATAAGATGTATTTGTCCACAGTGCTACTGATATTAAGCTATTGTGATACACGCTTCTGCCTTTTGGGAAGCACTAACAGAAAGACTCTTAAACGCCTGCAACAACGAGCTGCAAGAATCGTATACAGTTTTAAACCTGACATAGCCATGGAAACAATACTTGAGAACCTACGCTGGCCGCTGTAATGTCGTACGTCAATCATGTTGGATCACGTGACTAGAGAGAGAGATTATTATTAAAAAAAAAGCAAGGTTTTTACTACAAGCAGGGCGTTGTGGTTCATTTTACTTTAGCTCTATTCGAGACTGATACTCTCGATACCACATCTGGCGACGAGGATTCTAAAATTCATGAATCCCACAGTCAATATTCACATCAACACCGGTTTTCATTGAGGAGTTCGCTGTGTAAATTTTTCTTGAAAGCACGTGCTGTTTGCGACGCGCTCAACTCTGTGAGACCTCATGGCGGTCTCGCTACCAAGTTTTCCACCGTTCGACGTCCATGCCGATGGCAGTGCAGGTCCACGATGGAAAAGATGGCTAGGACGCTTAGAACGAATGCTTATCGGAATGAACATCACAGCTGCGAAAAGGAAACGGGCTTTGTTGCTGCATTATGCCGGCACCGACGTAGACGAAATATTCGACACCTTACCAAACACTGGCGAAGACGGCGACTATGACACGGCGGTCGCGAAACTTAACGAGTATTTCTCCCCACAAGTCAACACCACATATGAAGTATATAATTTTCGCCAGACGAAGCAGAAAGAGGGTGAGTCGCTTGATAGTTTTCACACCAGGCTTCGCCAACTCGCGAAAACCTGCGAATTCAGCGATGTTGACAAAGAAATTAAAGAACATATTATTCTGACGTGCAGTTCCAGCTCGCTTAGACGCCGAGCGCTACGTGAAAACCCAATGTTAGAAGGTTTATTGAATCTAGGAAGAGCATTAGAACTCAGTGACAAACAAGCGAAAGACGTAGAAGATACCGGAGGCGAATTCCAAGCCGTCAACAAAATCAAACGAAAAGAAGAGAATCGGCAAAGCCGCCCACGATACCGGCGTGACACACAATCACGCAATCGTCGTTTTGGAAACAAGCAAGGCAATTCTCCCAGAAAATGTGGCAAATGTGGCGGGTACGCACCTCACAAAAATCCATGTCCTGCGCAAGGAAAAGTCTGTAAAGCCTGCGGGAAAATTGGCCATTTTGCTCATGTTTGTCGTTCAAAACCTCGTACCGTGGCCTCCGTGGAAACTGGTCAAACCTCTGATGAAGAATATGAGTACGTTTACACTGTCGACCATCAAGAAAACAAGAAGCCACCCATATGTCAGCTACAAATCAATGGAAGAAACGTGAACATGATGATCGACTCGGGTGCATCTGTTAATCTTCTTGATGAAATAACCTTTCAAAGAATTAACAGTCACGGCAGTGAAAGCCTGCAGCCTGTTCACACCAAGATTTATTCATATGGATCTAAAGTCCCTCTTCCTACCCTGGGAATCCTCACTGCAACCGTGAAATCCAGTAACGCGAGCACCTCCGCTCAGCTGACTGTTGTTAAAGGAGAAAACGGAAATCTTCTCAGCTATCACACTGCAAAGAAACTAGGTCTGATTGCGTTTTCTATTAATACTGCCACCGTCACTGAAAGAAACAAAGACGACCGGAGTCTCTAAAAGAAGAGTTCAAATCACTGTTTGGAGGCATAGGGAAAGTACCAAACAAACAAGTGAAGTTACACATTGACCCCGATGTTACACCCCGACAGCAACCCCACAGACGAATTCCATTTCATGTTAGAGACGATGTCGAAAAAGAGCTTGAGAGACTTGAGAAACTCGACATCATCGAGAAAGTTGAAGGGCCCACACCCTGGATCAGTCCAATTGTTGTCGTCCCCAAGAAATCCGGAGAAGTTCGAATCTGTGTTGATATGCGTGAGGCAAACCAAGCAATTAAGCGGGAAAAGCATCTCATGCCAACCATTGATGACCTTGTTGCTGATTTGAATGGTGCAACGCTTTTCAGTACATTAGATCTGTCCTCAGGATACCACCAGCTTGAGTTATCACCTGAAAGTCGTTATGTCACAACCTTCAGTACACATGCTGGCCTAAGAAGATACAAACGTTTGCCTTTTGGAATTAATGCAGCGTCCGAAATTTTCCAGGAAAAGATCAGGGAACTCCTTTCTGGCCTCCCAGGATGTAAAAACATCTCAGATGACATCATAGTATTTGGAAAAGACCAGGAAGAACACAACAAGAATCTCCGTGGTGTTCTCCAGAGGCTTAAAGAAAATAACCTCCGTCTCAACAAAGACAAGTGTGCGTTTTCCAAAACTGAAATCAAGTTCTATGGTCACATTTTCAGCTCTGTCGGTGTTAGACCTGATCCAAAGAAAGTTAAAGCAATCCACGAGGCACAATCTCCTCGGAACCATTGTGAACTGAAGTCTTTTCTTGGTATGGCACAGTACGTCTCCCGATTCATACCAGACTATGCCACAATCACGACCCCTTTGCGCCTGCTGACCCGACAGGACACCCCTTGGAAATGGGAGCAAGAAGAACAAAAGGCATTGGACAAGCTGAAAGAAGCCCTCGCTGGGGATCAAGTTATGTCCTATTTTGATCCAAGAAAGAAGACCGAAATCATTGTCGATGCGAGTCCAACTGGTCTTGGTGGACTGTTAATACAAGAAGGCAAAATTCTTAGTTATGCAAGCCGTGCTTTGAGTGATGTGGAAAGTCGCTACTCCCAAACAGAGAGAGAGATGCTCTGCAAAAGCAGAAAATGAAGGTCTATGCTGACCTCAAAGCGCATGCTCAAGAACGAGAGATTAAGCCAGGAGAAGTTGTACTCATTAGACAACCCAAACAAAACAAGCTCAGCACTCCATACAATCCAAAACCATTCATCGTGGAGGAACAGAAAGGCACCATGGTCACAGCGAGTGATGGTTCACACACTGTTACGAGGAATTCATCGCAGTTCAAAGTTATTCCGAAACATCTTGCACCCTGCCAAGAGAATGGTGGAAGGAAAGATGAAGAAAAGACACAATGTCCATCCAAAATGAAAGCTGACGCCTTGCCGAGACGATCGAAACGACAGATCAAACCTCCTGTCAGGTTTTCAGACTATGTACAAATCGTCTACGAGAAATAGGCTGGAAAAGGAACTTTTCTGATTCTCTGAGAACGTTGACATAATATGAAGTGTTTGAAGGAAAAGAGATCTCGGTTTAAATTCAGTTTGAATGTTGATTATTGAACTTTGATTACAAAACGATGTACATTGTTTTGTTTAGAATTTTAGGACGTTTATCACTTAAAATACAGTTAGTCACCTTGTGTTCTTTTCATCCGAAAAAAAGGGAGGGATGTAATGTCGTACGTCAATCATGTTGGATCACGTGACTAGAGAGAGAGATTATTATTAAAAAAAAAGCAAGGTTTTTACTACAAGCAGGGCGTTGTGGTTCATTTTACTTTAGCTCTATTCGAGACTGATACTCTCGATACCACAGCCGCCTCTTACAAGAACTATGGAACTGCACTGTTAGTTAACAAGTGCCTGGTTGGAGAAGTTTCTTCATACTTTAAAGACTATTTCATGTTATGCAGCCAGAGCGACAACCAACATAGATGTACTAGATCGTCAATCACTGACATTATTCTTCCTACATTTCATCTAGATGTTGCTAAAAAGTCTTTTTACTATCATGGTGCAATGACATTCAATAGTCTTCCAATGAACATTAAGACTTTACCACCTAAGGAACGTTTCCCAGCGATGTCCGCTTTTTATTCTTAGGTTATTTTTAGAACATTCTGAAATCGAACATTGTTACTTTTTATATCAGTTGGTTCTTATTGATATGTGTACATATATAATTTATTTTACTCTCTTTTATTTTATGTTACATAGGGCCCCCGTTGATACCAGTCTTGTGCCTGAAGGGGTCACCCTGTTTAAATATCGATTATTATTATTATTATTATTAATATACAAATGAACAATAGATTAAAAGATATAGCAGGAAGTTCACTACCTTTTTGTGGTATAAGTATAATTGCTATCTGTAGTATACTAGGACAGCGGTTGTTTATGTAAAAGTATACATCCGGGAAAGTGTGAGCGCGGGAAGATTATTAAAGAAACGTGTACTGTGTGTACTGTTGTTGTTCGCCTTCGTGGCTGCCTTTTGTGGCATACTTCTTCATTTTTAGACACTACAAATTGGCGACGAGGATGTCGAATTCAGTAGAAAGGGCGCTTCCGCCTCTAGATTTAACAGGGTCTTCCTCTCAGGTCGCGGAACGATGGCGACAGTGGAAACGATCGTATCAGTATTACATCGATGGCAAGGGAATTACGAATCCTTCTCGGAAAACAGCTCAGTTACTTCATTTAGCAGGTATGGAAGTACAAGATATTTACGAAGATATTCCAGATCCTGGACCACTGAATGCTAACGAGGATAATGAGTATGTGGTGTGTCTGCGAAAGTTGGATGCTCATTTTCGAGCCGAGGACAATGTACCGTACGAGCGTCATGTCTTTTCGTCAACTTACGCCGACAAAGGGAGAGACCGCCGATAAGTTCATGGTTCGTTTACGTAAACAAGCTCGTCATTGTAATTTTGGTCCAACTTTGGAAGAAAATTTACGGGATCAATTGATTGAAAAGTTGCCTAATGTTGAGCTAAAGAAGAAGCTATTGGAAGTCGTTAATATTACTCTGCAAGCAGCAATGGATAAAGTTCGAAAGTGGGAAGTCTCACACGAGCAGGCAAGTCAAATGGTCATGCCAAGCCAAGAACCTGGAGCAGGTACTCATGCAGTTGAAGAACGTCCTGGGCGTGGAGACAAAGGGAAAAGCGTTTGTTTCAACTGTGGTAAAGAAGGTCATTTTGCCCAAAGTACAAATTGTCCAGCCCGAGGTCGCAAGTGCAGCAAGTGTGGTAAATATGGTCATTATGCCAGCTGTTGCAAAGGGGGAAGGAACTCGAAGCCTGGAAAACAAGGTAACACCCAACAACGGGGAGGCAGACAGCAGCGTCATGGTAAGGGGAGACAGGCAAATCATGTTGAGGGTCATTGTAACGAGTCAGGTGAGGATGACAGTTTTGCTTTTACTATAGAAGAACAGACATGTGCTATGTCAAATTCCTCTGAACCCGTTATCTCAGTGAAGATTGGTGGAATCAGCAGAGATGTGTTGATTGATTCAGGTTCTGCAAGTAACCTCATTAGTAAAGATACACTGCAGGAACTTAAGTATCAGGGGCTCAAGATTGAATTAAAACCTTGTCTGAAGAGATTGTATGCTTATGGGGGTCGAGAGCTTAAAATTGAGGGCCAGTTTCAGACAGAAGTTTCCGTACCCAAAGCAAAGGTTGTGGCAGATTTCATTGTTGTTGAATCCAGGCGTTGTTTGCTGGGATATTTGTCCGCCACAGATCTTGGAATCCTTCGTGTGGATCTCTCGGGAACTCTTGGGACAGGAGACTGTAACACTGTTGATGGTACCTTCGTGGGAGGACTCAAAGCAAAATACCCCAGTGTATTCCAGGGAATTGGAAAGCTTAAAGATTATCAGTTGAAGCTACACATTGACCCCAGTGTAACTCCAGTCGTTCAAAAAGTGCGACGAGTACCTTTTTCTGTAAAGGACAAAGTAACTGCCAAGGTTAACGAACTCCTTGAAAAGGACATAATTGAGAAAGTCGAGGGGCCTACGGTGTGGGTAAGCCCAGTCGTTGTTGCTCCTAAACCGTCCGGGGACATAAGGTTGTGTGTCGACATGCGGAGAGCCAACGAGGCCATTATTCGGGAAAGATTGCCCATACCAACCATAGATGAAGTCCTTGAAAGTCTTAATGGGAGTGGTGTTTTCTCGAAGTTAGATTTAAGGTGGGGTTTTCACCAAATTGAGCTGGATCCTGATTCAAGGGATATCACTGCTTTTGCCACCCATGATGGTATATTCCGCTACAAACGTTTGAGTTTCGTGTAAATGCCGCACCAGAGAAGTACCAGCATATCATCACCCAGTCAATGGCAGGTCTACAAGGGGTGTCAAACATAGCAGATGATCTTATCGTTCATGGTCGAGACACTGAAGAACATGATAAGAACTTACACAGTGTGTTGCAACGTCTTAGTGAGAAGCAGCTGACTTTGAATGCTGAAAAATGCACTTTCCGAATGACTAAAGTGGTATTCATGGGTCTTTTGCTGAGTAAGCATGGCATCGGCCCAACGGAGGAAAAAGTCAGAGCAGTTGCAGAGGCAAGTCAGCCTCAGACACCCTCAGAAGTCCGTAGCTTCTTGGGGCTCGTTGGATTCAGTGCCAGGTTTATACCCGATTTTGCTACCACTGCTGATCCCCTCAGAAAACTTGCAAGAAAAGGGGGGACCGTTCGTTTGGGGCAAGGAGCAGGAGCAGTCGTTTCAGAGATTGAAGAGTCAAGTTGCAAGTGCACCAGTCCTAGCTTACTTCGATAAGGACACACCCACCCGTGTTATTGCTGATGCAAGTCCTGTTGGACTTGGCGCCGTGCTGGTGCAAGAAAAGAATGGGGAAAGCCGTGCCATCTGTTATGCTAGTCGTAGTTTGAGTCAAGTGGAGCGTCGTTATAGTCAGACAGAAAAGGAAGCACTAGCCTTAGTCTGGGCTTGTGAACGCTTCCACCTCTACTTGTACGGGCTTCCACAGTTTGATCTGGTGACAGACCATGAGGCACTTAAAGTCATCTATTCCAGGAAGTCTAAACCTTCAGCCAGAATAGAGCGCTGGGTTCTGCGTTTACAACCGTACAACTATCAAGTTTGCTATGTGCCTTCAAGAAAAAACATCACAGATGCCCTTTCCCGACTGACAAAGATACCGGCGTCAGACAATTCGGCGGAAGATGATGGATATGTACGCGCGATAGCTCTACATGCTGTCCCCGCTGCATTGAGAATCAAAGAGATTGAACAAGTCTCAGCACAAGACTCTGAGTTGCAAGCACTCAGAAATTGTCTCATCGAAGGGAAATGGGACAATGCCCCAAAGCAGTATTTGCCAGTGCGCAATGAGTTGACTTTTATTGGCCATGTAATTCTCCGGGGGACAAGAATTGTTATACCCCAAGCACTTCGCAAGAGAGTCGTTAGTTTGGCACACGAGGGGCACCAAGGAGTCACAAAGACAAAGGAGAGACTTAGAACAAAAGTCTGGTGGCCTGCTATGGATCGTGATGCCGAGAAAAGATGTGCAGAGTGTTACGGGTGCCAGATGGTTACAAAGAACGTTCCACCCCCACCATTGAAGTCAACACCATTACCCAACAAACCATGGGAAGAAGTAGCTGTGGATCTAATGGGTCCGTTACCTTCTGGAGAACATTTGTTAGTTCTCGTTGATTATTACAGCCGGTGGATAGAAGTTGATGTTATCCGAACAACTTCCAGCAAAACCATCATTCATTGCTTGGATGCCCAATTTGCAAGACATGGGTTGCCTAAAGGTCTGCGTACCGACAATGGCTCAAATCTTGTATCCAAAGAAGTAGAAGATTACCTGAATGAAATGGGGATTGAACACCGTTACACAACACCTCTATGGCCAAGAGCTAATGGCGAGGTAGAGAGGCAAAACAGGTCGCTTCTTAAGTCCATGAGAGCAGCCCATGCAGAAGGACAGAATTGGAGAGAGGAGCTAAACAGGTTTCTTTTTGGCGTACAGGTCCACGCCACATTCAACCACAGGAAAGAGTCCCGCCGAGTTATTGTTTAGGAGAAAGCTAACAACTAAAATGCCTGAGCTAGTCAACGTTGAAGAGGAGGAGCTAGAAGTGAGCGACCAAGCCGTTCGTGATCGGGACAATCAGAGAAAGCAGTTTAACAAGGACTATGTGGACAAGAAGTTCCATGCCAGAGATCGAAATGTGAAAGAAGGAGACAGTGTTCTGCTTGAGAAGAAGAAAGAAAATAAGCTGTCACCTTGCTATGAGAAGGAACCATATCAGGTGATATCTCGTTATGGGGACCAGGTGGTGTTGCGATCGCCTCAAGGTGTCCAGTACAAACGCAGCCTTCAGCATATTAAGTCCTTTAATATGCCAGATCCAGTAGAACAGGAAACGCCACAACAGGACGCTAAACCACGGACTGAACCTAAGTCATTTGAGACGCCACCTGTGGCAGAGGATCAAGTACCAATGGCTGAATCACCACCAGAAGATGTACCTTCTACTGTACCTACAGCTGAGCAGCATGTGAGAAGATCCGGCAGAATTACGAGCCGTCCAAAGGCTCTGAGTGACTACGTTCTGTACTAAAACTAGTGACATTGGCATTTTCATATTACTGTTCGTTGTTATTACATGAGTGACATTGAAACGTTGTTTTATAAGCTGAACGGCCAAGGCTATGTTTATGTTTAGCGTGATTTTTGTCTTGAACATTTGGAATCGAATTGAACTTTTACGGTATCTAAACAAAGTGGAAGTTTGTTATGTTTCTGTCTTTCGAGGTCAACCATCTGAGCGAAGAAAGAGAGGGAATGTAGTATACTAGGACAGCGGTTGTTTATGTAAAAGTATACATCCGGGAAAGTGTGAGCGCGGGAAGATTATTAAAGAAACGTGTACTGTGTGTACTGTTGTTGTTCGCCTTCGTGGCTGCCTTTTGTGGCATACTTCTTCATTTTTAGACACTACACTATCGGGGATCTATTTCCATTGCAACCAGTAATGGATGGTTATATATTTAAAGACATGGACAATGATGAATGTGGTATTCTTGCCCCTATTATATGGCAAGAACTTTTCAAAATGTTTGAACTGAAGCAAATAATGAGACAGAGAGAAAGTAAAAACTTTACTAAGTTGTTACATCATACCAAAGAAGATATTGTGAAATGAAAGGAAAGACTTATTGCTGACACTAGTCCTGACTGTCCCTAAGATGCACTCCATTTATTCATTCAAAATGCTAAAGTAAATGACCTCAACATTAGAGCCCACAATGCTCTGCCAGCTACAATATGCTCTATCAGAGCACATGACAGTGTTATTGGAGCTGATTCACAGGAACTCAGGGACAAAATATTGAAGCAGGTACCTGGTGATCCAAGAAAAACAAAACAATGACATTCTGTATTACACTTAGCAGTAGGAGAAAGAACAGAAATTTCTCTTAACACTAGAACTGATGATGGTATGACCAATGGTGCTGGTAATGTCATAAAATTGATATAAGTACAACAAACAGATAAACCATCAGGTATCATATGGGTACAGTTCAACCATGCTGATGTTGGTGAGAAAACCAGGCATGATAATAGACAGTTGTGCATTGAGGGTATTGGATGCTCACGGACGCCAATCAAACCAATCACTGCACAGTTTGCTGTAGGTAGAACAAAATCAGTACAAATTGTAAGGAAACAGTTTCCACTGAGAGCTGTTGCTGCTAAAACTATTCATAGATCACAAGGTGATACTGAAAATAGAATTGTAGTTAATTTTGAAGACAAGCAGTTCCCCATGTACATTATGTAGTATTAAGTTGGCTGACAACTATAGATGGTCTTTACATTTACTGACTTATGTGAAAACAAAATAGCTCTTAGTGATGATATCCAAAAAGAAATGCATCGATTAAGAACAGAAGGACAGTTGTCACTATCAGTTATCCCTATTTACGAAAAGTCTCAGATTTCCCTAAAAGCTTGTTTTCTCAATGCAAGATCATTAAATAAACACTTAAGTGATGTACTACAAGACTTGAATTATACAAGTACTGATGTTAACATATTCTCAGAAACAAGATATTCTCCATCTGAAAGTGATCATTTGTATTTGTTTAACCATGAAACATACACATTATTTAGAAATGATGCTCCTCCAAGAGTTTCAGAAAACACTCGACCATTTGGAGGTACAGCAGTATACAGTTGTCTTGACTATAATCCCGGATATCCACAATGCGCAAACAGAAATTGTAGTGTTTAGGCTATTGAGACATTTCGTGCCGCATACATGGTGTAATGTAGGTTCGAGTTGCATCTCGGGTAGCGGAAAAGCATGGCGTGTTGTAAAAGTCGTGTGCAGTGAATTAAAACACTTCAAAAGGTTTAATCCGTGTTAATCTGCTTATTTATTGGCTATCACCACATTTGGCGACGAGGATAAAGCAGGATAAAGGTTCTTGTGGATCCTTAAATTGAATTTCGCGACATGCCTGACACCGAGAGAGGTGAAACCAGCGACACGCCGCCACAACCAGCGCCGAGCTCGATCGTCGAACCAAAGACTCTTGAAGTTCGTGGTTTACCTTGCTTCGACCCCAAGGGAGAACCGACTACTCTTTCCGTTCGATGGAAACGCTGGAAACGTGCTTTTCATTTGTATGTGACATCGAAAGGTATTACGAATCAAGCGCAAAAAGTGGCTCTATTACTGCACTCAGGTGGGATGGAACTGCAAGAAATTTTCTACACGCTTGCACCAGAAGACGAAGCTCAGAACAACTTCGACAATTGTGTAGCCATCCTTGACAAATATTTTACGCCAAAAGTGAACGTACCTTTCGAGAGACACGGTTTCCGACAAATGGCACAACTCCAGAGCGAAACTATCGATCAATTTGTGTGCCGCCATCGACAAAAAGCTGTCTCGTGTGAGTTTGACAAAGTGGATGAGGCTATCCGGGATCAGTTGATTGAAAAGTGCAGAGATCCGGAACTCCGAAAGAAGTTTTTGGAGAAAGCCCAGGACGGAACCCTTACTGTCCTTCAAGATGTTGCACGAGTTCATGAGTCTGTCATCCTTCAAATGCAGTCATTAGAGATTTCGAGTAAAGATGATCAAGTGAATGCAGTGCGACCTGTTAACCCCAAGTGGCGAAAAAACAAGATGACAAAGAAGAAGAAACCAGATAAGAAAGATGTAAGACCAGGAGAGCATCAGAAGTGCTACAGATGCAATGAAACCGGTCATTTTGCCCACAGTTGCCCTGCCCTGAACAAAACATGTAACAAGTGTGGATTCACTGGTCATCTGGCTGTTTGTTGCAAGACAAAGAATCCTAAACGCCCTCCAAGTGGCCGACATAATCCAAATGTGAATGGTGCATATCAAGTGGAAGAAGGCTCAGATCAAAGAGATGCTTATGCCTTTGCCGTGAATGACGGAAACAAGACAAGTGGCATCATACATTTGAAAGTGGGAGGTGTAGAGTTAAAGGATGTACTTATTGACTCTGGAGCATCATGCAAAGCTGTGAAGATTCTGCAAAAAGCTGTTTGGACGAGTTCACTGTTGTTAAAGGTCCTGGAAAAACTTTGCTTGGAAAATACACTGCAGAGAAGCTGAATGTATTGAGAGTTGGACCTCCGAGTACACCACTGGCATGTACCATCACCAGCGAAGGTGATGCTGGAGATGTGTTAAAGGACTTTGCTGACATATTTCAAGGCGTTGGAAAGCTTAAAGACTTCCAACTCAAGTTGCACATTAACAAGAACATCAAGCCTGTGGCCCAGCCAGTGAGACGATTACCCTTTGGTCTTAGAGACAAAGTAGACAAGAAATTGGATGAGTTGTTGCAAGAAGACATCATAGAGGAAGTACCATGTGGTCCTACAGAGTGGACGTCACCTCTTGTCGTCGTGCCAAAACCAGATGGTGATATCCGTATTTGTGTTGACATGAGAAGAGCGAATGGGGCCATCGAGAGAGAGAGGCATCCTATTCCTACCATAGAAGAAGTTCTCCATGACCTTAATGGTTCAACTGTATTCAGCAAACTAGATCTGCGCTGGGGATTCCACCAGATTGAGCTTGATGAAGAGTCCCGTCAAATTACTACGTTTGTGACACACAGAGGCCTTTACAGATACAAGAGACTAATGTTCGGCATTACGTCAGCCCCAGAAAAGTATCAGAAGATTGTGAGTGATGTTCTGCAAGGTTGTGAAGGTGTTGCAAATATTGCAGATGATGTGATCGTACATGGATGTGGAATTGAGCAGCATGACAAGAATTTGCTGGCTGTTCTAGATCGCCTCAGACAGTGTGGACTAACCCTGAATCCAAACAAGTGCCAGTTCAGACTTCCCAAGTTGACCTTCTTCGAACATGACCTGAGCAAGAGTGGAGTTACACCCAGTGAAGAAAAGGTAGCAGCAGTTCAGAATGCGAAACCTCCAAAGAATGTGGCTGAAGTCAGATCTTTCCTAGGCCTTGTACAGTACTGTGCTAAATTCCTGCCAAATTTTGCACAGGAAGCTGAGCCTATCAGACAGCTGACTAGAAAAGACGAGCCATTCGTATGGAAAGAAGTTCAGCAACAGTCTTTTGAGAAGCTCAAGTATCTCTTGACACGAGCAGAAACACTGGCAAACAAGAATGATTGCAAAACCCGTATTGTCGCAGATGCAGGTCCTACTGGTATCGGAGCAGTCCTAACACAATTCCAAGATGGAGTCTGGAGAGTGATTTCTTATGCGTCCAGGAACCTAACCGACGTCGAAAGGCGATATTCTCAAACCGAGAAGGAGGCACTTGCCTTAGTGTGGGCCTGCGAAAGATTTAATCTGTATGTTTACGGTCGTGACTTTGAACTTGAGACTGACCATAAACCTCTGGAATGTATTTACAAGAGTACATCCAAGCCATCTGCAAGAATCGAACGATGGGTGCTCCGCCTGCAAAGCTACAACTTCCAAGTTGTGTATCGTCCTGGAAAAACCAACATTGCAGACGCCCTGTCAAGACTTAACTCCCTGGACCAAAAGGACAGAAGTGGAGAGGAAACAGATGCAGTGAAAATGATTGCAGAAGAGAGCACACCTGTGGTGTTAACAGCGAAAGAAGTAGAACGTACATCAGAAGAAGACCCTGAACTGACCAGCGTGAGACATTACATTCAGAGTGGAGACTGGTCTCAGTGCAAAATGCCCCATTTCCTGTGTGTGAAGAATGAACTGTGTGTGCTTGGAAAACTGGTGTTGCGTGGTACAAGAATTGTCATACCCCAGAGCCTGAGAAAACAAGCCTTACATTTAGCCCATGAAGGTCATCAAGGCATAGTCAAGATGAAGAGCCGACTCAGAACCAAAGTGTGGTGGCCTAAAATGGACACTGATGCTGAGCGAATCTGTAAAAGCTGTCACGGATGTCAAGTAGTGAGTGGATTCTGTACACCTGAACCAATGCAGAGAGTAGAACCACCAACAGGACCCTGGCAAGATGTAGCTATTGATGTGTTGGGTCCACTTCCTTCTGGAGAGAGTTTACTTGTAGTAGTAGACTACTACAGCCGTTTCTTTGAAGTGGTAATTATGCGGTCAACCACATCACAGAAGATGATAGAAGCACTAACACCGATCTTTGTACGTTACGGCTATCCATTTACCCTCAAGTCTGACAATGCAGCTCAGTTTGTATCGGAAGAATTCGAAGAGTTCCTGTCTAAGAATGGCATCGAGCATCGAAAATCTCCTCCACTTTGGCCCCAAGCCAATGGTGAGGTTGAACGACAAAACCGAACCTTGCTTAAAGTGCTCAAGATAGCCCAAGTGGAAGGAAAGAGGTGGAAAGATGAGCTGAACAAGTTCCTGTTGGCATACCGAACAACTCCTCACTCTACCACTGGGATGACCCCAGTATCTCTAATGTTCGGAAGAGAGTTGAAAACAAAACTGCCTGAATTACGCCCCAACAAGAGCCTGCTGGATGAAAGCATCAGAGACCGAGACTGGAACCACAAATTGTCTAGTAAGCTCTATGCTGACAAGCAAAGGAATGCAACTTTCAACCCAGTAGTCCCTGGTGACAAGGTTCTGCTTAAAAACACCAAATCACCTGGTAAGCTGACTCCAAAGTTTGAACCTCAGCCATACACCGTCCAGACCAAGGAAGGACAAGAACTCACCTTGAAAGCAGACAATGGCACCTTGTGCAGGAGAAACAGC